GTTTTAGTTACACATACGTGACATACCATAAAGTTTATTATTTTTTATAAGAATATGATGCTCCGTAATGGTTGCTGCAGCCATTAATGTTCCATAATTTTAAAAGTGAGGGAGGTTCTGCCACATTTAATGTTGTGAGAATTGGACATTCTAATTAACGCTTTTTATTTATCAATTTGATTGACCATATTATTAACTTTACCATATTGTATAATTTGCCTCTTAATGATTTGTATACTAATATTGATACGCTATTGTAACTCATTTTAAGTTCGAAAATATGTGTGGACCCGTTGTAAAAAAATAATTGCTTCCGGTTCACAAAGATTGATGTTTATATATTTTTATTTTATTCTACAAAGACTAATTTTCTAGTTTTTCTATATACTTAATCAATACGGTATACAAAGACTCAATAACTCGTGATATCCATTAAAAAGTTAACAACTATTTTTCGTTCATGTCATTTAAAAAAATTCCAAAATTCAAATAAAATCAAGATTAAACATGGTTTCTATCTCTCTAAAAATCATTTTTACGTGGTTCAACTAAAGAAAAGAACATTAAACAAGGTTCAATAGTATTAAGTAAGCACACCAGTTTTTGGGTTTGTTGGGAACCCTACGAGAAACCAAGAATCTACTAGTGATAGTTTAATTATTTTTCATTAATGGAGGTTACTTCTAGTTATATAGTTGTAATTAATCACATTTTAACGACAAAATTAAAATCAAATATAGAAACATCTTTGTGAATATCTAGAAAATTAAGATCAAATGTCGTTTTCTTATGTAGATTTATATTCCCTATGGAGGTATCTTGCCGATCTCAAGGCCCAAGTCATCAGCACTACTAACCATTATGTCAAAGATTTATTTAATACAACTATATGGTTTAAATTGAATACATTCTTTAATTAATCTCACGTAATTAATTTGCAGGTATCCTTCAAATCATTTGTCGGCAAGATTTTAGAAGTCAATCAAAATATTGAAGCAATTAAAACCTTTTTTTTGTCGTCAAAACTTTCTTGTTCATTGTATGCTTTACTTTAATTTTGAGTAGTGATGTCTTAATTTTTTCAAAAATTAATATAGTGAAAATATATTTTAAAAGAGGCCTTTGATTGGGTTTGGGCTTTAATTTATGTCCTTACCAAAAAAAACAGCAATAGTTCGCGTTAAATCCGACATGGTGAAAATTACTGTTCTAACCCCAAGTTGATTGACTGTATATTGGGAAGGTAATTATGTCTTTTCACTCATTTGTATGACATGATATTTTTTTTTCATTACAAAACTATTTTCTTTTAATTAGTCTTTATGTTTCCACTTATTAATTTGCATGTAGTTTGGTTTTATTTTTATTTTTGCTTATAGCTATATATTTTGGAAAAATGGATGATATTTTATTAATTTTCCTATAAAAATAACATATATTTTTTTCATGCATTGTCAAAATTTATACATTTTAATTTAACATTAGGTGATGATAAATTAATTTAACGTATATTTTTCTGTATCACTTAGATCTAGTGAAAAGAAAATAAACTCTTAATAGTGTAGGTCTTCTTTATATTGTATATGAATTTTTTGATTCGGCTATTAATTATATATAGTTTAACCAAACAATCCAGGAC